AGGATTTTTTATTGTTGGCTGCATTTGTAGCTAAATAAATTGGTTTGGTTTTGCTTGTCTGCCTTTGTGCAACTGTCAATCTGCAAAGCTCTGTTTAGTAATCTAATTCGTATGCAAACTTCAAGATTAACCTTTTAGCTCGTCTCAGGTGGGTGACTCATGAGATGCATTTATATCATCTCTCTAGTAACTGAAGGAAGTCAGTATGGTTAAGATACAATTTTCTTGTACACTGTTTTTGTGATTCGGATCCCTGTGTTTACAAAGCTTGGTGGCGTGTGAAATAGACAGCATTTAGGATATTTGGTTTCCGCATTGAACATCAATTTGGAATGCGGGCAGACTGAAGAATCCTTTGAAGAACTATCTAGGCAAAGCAGTTTAATTCATACAGAAAACTGTTTTAAGGTTTTAATTTGCATAGACAATGCAAAAGAATCTGATGAATGGTTTATAGTAAATAAATCACTCTTTGTATTTGTTCATGTTTTCTGTATCATTGAGATGTACTTGTTAGAAATTATTTGTGAATTTCCTTAGCAGATACAGATTTTCAAAAGCGATAGAAATTCTTCATTAACTGTAGAATATAAAATAATCTGTTTACAAATATTTAGAAAAAAATAAAAAGGTGATTCCTTTTTCTGACAAGAGGAAAGGACATGTAGTTATAAAAGAAGGGAGTCTTTGTATCTTAACTTTAGTAATACTGTTCCAGGCTTCCCAAGGCAATTTTCATAAAACAACAATCGAATCACCACAAAGTGGGTGCCCAGTTGTTTTAAATATGTCTTTAAGGAGGCAGGCAGTATTGCTCTTAGATTGGAAAAGCATATTTTATTGTAACCCACAGAACCTCTCTGTTCTCTTGTTCAGAGCAATTCCATTGCTAATCATTAACTAGTGGGGTAATGGAATAGAGATTGTACTTAACACTTTTGTGGATGACAGCCAGCGAGGAAAGCTTGGGTAAAACTTTTTGACTAACAGTAAATTTGCTGAAATAAAGTTTCAAAGGTTTGCAAATGTGTTTGATGAAGTATTGAATACTCTCATTTTAAATGACATTTTTGATATTAAATGTAACTGAAGTAAAAGACTATGTCACTGAAAAATTAACAGAATATTTAGTTTTATAGTCAAACAAAATGTGTTGTTTGCTGTTTGAAAAATAACAAAAATAAAATATTGAAAATGTTCTATTTCAGTTCTCATTTTAAAAAAATAATTATTCTTTCACCAAAGTGTGAATATCTGATTTGCCAGACTGAAGCTTTCAGGATGTGTAAGTTATTTTGAAAGAAAGTATCAGAATAAATAGATCAAAAATGAAAAAAAAATGAGATTCATAAATTGCTATTTCCAGTGCTTATTAGAGAGAAATCAAGAGCATGAACAGAAGATCGGGATGATTTGAACCGCATTCTTCAGCACTACGTTATGGGAGTGGTAGGAGTGCTCATTTGCAAGAGCGGGTAAAAATATGATTATAAGAAAGGTCTGTGAGTTACATTTATGCAAGACAGAACATGGTTTTTGTCAGTTGAAGGTGATGAGTCCTTGGGTGGAGTATCTCTAGCAGGGGCACTGCAGTCTAAGGAAAATAGGTACATTTGAGGGATTCTAGAGCACAGATACAGATCGTGACTTTGAAATGTGATATGTGGGTATAGATTGAAATAATTGGAACTGGCTGATGCTGAAAAGGCAGAGGTCATACAAGTCTCCTGGTATGTTAAAAGCAGTTATAAGGAGGACAGATTCATTGTTTCCGTGTCCCTATGCAGAGAAAAAAATAGTTGTCTTACTTGGCAATAAAGATTCATTACAAATGAATAAAGAAATGTTCTAGTAGTATACATCTGGAAGTTCTGAAATCATCATTGGAGGTTTTAAGAACAACTTCTTTGATGTTGTGAATATGCAGAATTCATGTTGTGTGTTACACAGCTTGCTTGCAGGTTTTAAAAACAGTTTAGGCAAATACTTGTGAAATTTTAATTCTGCTTCACTGCAAGGAGGTGGACAGGGTTCACACAGACTTCAGAACGTCAAGACTTGTGCAGCCATGCAAACACTTGTACGCTGTATGAGTGGGAATGGATGACTGCTTTGTTGTATCTGTCACCGAAGATCGAAGGAAGGCAGCAGAATGTTTCTGCAATTCCCTGAAGCTGTCTGTATTCAGATTTTGTGCTGCGGTGTTTCATTATGTAACCTGTGAGGTATCATTCCTTTCCTCTTTTTGTGGTATCTCTACTATGTGAATGATTAAGACTGCTAGATTCTTAGTGCTGTTAAAGAATGTATAGTTCTTTGGCTGGAAAGGCTGTAACTGTAGGTTTTATTCTGTCTGTGCTGACCTCTTATTTACTTCCTCTCTTACTAACCATGGACACATCTTATGAACATGGACACCTGAAGCTTACCTTTTCTTTCTCCTTTGAAAATTGGTCCTTTGTCCATCACGTAATTGTGATGTCAGCTGTAAAAACATAACCAGAGTTGATTTTTGTTTTTAAAAATGTATCTATAATATGGATATTGGAGATGGCTGGGAAGGGAGGAAAAAACAGAAGGGTTACAGATGTGCACTCAGATATGGTATTACTCTCTCTGAACATGTTTCTCTGCTGACCCTCCCTTCAGATGGAGTTGAAGGACAGATGCAATAAGAGAACCTTTGTTTCCTAGGGGTGTCTCTCAACTAATGGAAGTTGCCTTTCAGAGTGTGAGCTGAAATTACTCTGAATACTTTGGAATAGCGTGTCTGTTGCTCACTGAAAAGATTATGTACTACTGAGGTCAGGGAGCAGGAAGCTTCGTTTCCACAGCCCTAGACGTCACGTAGCCTGTGACTCTATCTAGTATAATGGAAACCATAGATAAAACTTAAAAGTAGCATATGAGGGGTGGTCACTGAAAAGGGCTTATTCATACTGAGTTTTCTACGAAGAAAACCTGCAGCACTGGCACCTTTTTGATTGTTCAGTTTGTGGGGAAAAGGCAGGAGGACTAATTAGCTGTAAGAAAAAGCAGGGCTATGCTAACCCTGCAGAGTGCCTGGAACATGTGTTTCCCTGCACCAAGTCCTGAAGACTGCATCTTGGAGAGCTTTTTTTTAACACTCTTGCTGTTATTTTGTGCTGATGTAGTGCTCACAGACACTGGCAACAGGATATTTTGCCTCACTGGTTCAAAAATGAAGCTATCATAATTTATGCTGGTAAAATTAGTAACTACATTGGAGTAGTGGAGTAATTCCTCCACTCGTGATGGCACTTTGAATGGGTAGGCTCACCCAAAAACTATATTTGTATTTGAGGAAAATCTGTAGTTCTTCACTCTTTACAAATATCTGCCCTGGTTTTGCAGATGTTAGACATTTGCCTGTATGGTATATGTGTCTGTAGGAAAAGGTATATAGAAAAATAAACTTCCTTGGTTGTGTATTAATATGCATGAATTATTTCAGCCAGTATTGAGAGTTGGAAAACTATTGGATAGCAGAATATTAATGGTTCAGTTCTGTCAAAGATAATTTATAGTGAAGCTTCAAATGATTTATGGGGATCATTATTTACATGTGGAAATTAATTATGCCATTTCCACCTGTTTACACTGCAGCAAGAAACCCTGTTGCTTTTCTTTTGTCTTAATTGTTCAGTTATTGTTTCAGTAAGATAATTTGAGGAAGAACTATTAAGTGGTTTTCAAAGAGTGTTATAGTCCTTCGTTATTCAGAATACAACTATTGGGTTTTTTTACTTTTAATAAGCTAGTGTAGTTAATATTACAAGTTAAACTTTATTAAATGGTAATATTCCCTCTTCTATTTGCACAGAAGATCTATTTTCCTTTTCTTCTCCTAGCTCTGTAGTTATGAGAGTTGGTGATGAGTGTGACTGAAGAATAGTGTCTACAATTGTCCTGCAATAACGCATTCACTGCTTAGCATTTCCATATACGTAGGCAACCCATCATTCACTAATCTTACCCTCTTCCGGACTTGTACAGTCCAGAATTGCTACCAAAAATCTTCTGTTATAATGTTCTTAAAGTCTTTTGATGTTTAATCCTGGCCACTGTACTCTGAGTTCTTTGCTTTATACTCTAACTTGAATGGCAACATGCCGCCATGTTTCTGTTGGTTTTGTTTTTTTTTAATCAGATTTCTTTTCAGACATGTTTTTTTGGTTTTTTTTTTTTGTTGGTTTTATATATCTACCTGAAACTAGCAGTCTCTCTTTCTAATTTTTTTTTAAAACTTTCTGTGTCAAAGAACCAGCTATATTAGCTTTCCTGTTATCCAATTTCACATAAATATCTTCATCACCTGCACTTCTTTGACTTGTCCTTCTTTTTGTATTTGGTTCAGTGTTCATGTATGAGCCTGTTGCCTTCCATTCTTTAAGAAGTCTACTCAATTAATGGAAGGTGAAAGAGAAGCAAGTGGACAGGTCTATCAGAAATGTACATGGGCTTTCCTAGAATATATATCCGTGTATGGATTTGTTTTCATGTAGTGGTCAAATATAATATAGTCAGGTTACTCGATTATCTCTAAATGTATATTTTGAATAAGGTACGCATGGATATACAGATCTTAGTTTCTTAGTCACAGAAAAATTCTTTTATCACAAAACACCATCAGATGGGAAAGGGCTTGTGGCATTTCTGATGTTTTCTAAAACATTTATGTCCTAGGTCTTAACCTAGGAAAGACACAAAAGGTAGCTGAAGATGTATAAAGCAGCATCTTTTAGGGAATGGGATCAGTTTAAACTTGCAGAAAGTTATGGTGTGGTGGTTCAGATTTCATACATGCAGGTAACCGTAGGTTATTGATAGTGCAGTTAAATAGCTTCATAAACTAGTAAACATGGGTTTGTTTTTTGGTTTTGGTTTGTTTTGTTTTTTTTTTTTTACAAGTCTACATAGAGCAACCAGTGCTAGCACAAAGGAAGGGATGGGATGGGAAAATATAACCACATATGAGGAAGAAAGCAGGACTGCAGCGGCTTATTAAATTGACATAAGCTTGTCTTCAGTCACACTGGTAGGGTTGAAAATATTTAAAAGCTCACTATCATCAGAAGAGGAAGGTCTTACTCATTTCCTTCCTCACTTTTTCTTTTCTTTTTATTGCTGGTTTGTTGGTTTTTTTCTTTTTTTTTTTTTTTTTTCCTTTTTCTTCCTCTGTTCCCTCACCTTCCGTCCTTCATCTCCTTCAGCAGTTCTGGTATTTCTTCCAGAAAAAAACAGTAATTCAAGTCATTAATGTAAGATAGCTAGTGAACCCATTTAGTGATGTACAGAAAAGAGAAGATAGAAGAACAGGACTTCTCTCTTTTGGCATTGACAAGTGTTTAGATCATCTCTAGCAACAGTGTGAAAACCCACCTTCAAGTAATAAGCAATATGCATAGCCCAGGACTGTGTGGTAGCTGGAGTTCCATCTATCTGGTAATACTGTTGGGCACGTTATACTTGCTGACTGACTTCTGAAAGTGAGCTGGCATTTATTTGATCATGAGTTTTTTGGAAGTAATTTTCATTTAAAAAAAACCCCAAGGTTTTCTTTTTTTGTACTGTGATGACCTGCTGGAGGAAGTGGTAGTCCATGTTTAATGGCAAGCTGTTAAGAGAGGCAAGTAGTTTAGCTGAAAGAAAATAGGATGCTGTAAGTTGCTAGTTACAGTATGTAATGGATGTATTAAATACATGGTTATGCTATAGTATCTTGGCTGCGTGGATCTTAAGCTTGTTTCTCGGTCATTTCTGTTTGAACATTCATGGCACTCTCTGAGGATCCAAAGTCTTGTATCCTCCTTGACTTGGGGGAAGAAAATCCACTGGTTATATAAAACAAGTTCTTTTTTTCAGTAGGTCTGTCACTATTCTAGTGACAGAATACATATCTGTGGTAGTTATATTTGGTACGTATTTCAAGTTGCTTAAGTTCCTTTTTTATTAAATACTACCTTCCCAGAGGAACCTTAAGGCAAATACAGTGGTCTATGGTCTTTTGCAAAATTTCAGAAAAGACTAATACTGTAGTCTTTATTTCCGTATCTTATTGTTGGAGGATAAATTAACATTGTAAAAGGTTGCATGTTTAAAAGGTTGCATGTTTAAACAGTACAATTTTGGATTCATTGATGCTGCTAGATACTAGCATGTGTGCGCTTCAGCAATCACAAAATAAAGATTTAATTTTGTAAAACCTGCAGGAGAGGAAGAATATTAGAGAGACAAAGCATGCAAAGAAAAATAGGGGTCAAATCAAGAAGCCAGAAGGAGTCAGCAGAGATGGATGGGCCATGATCTTGAAATTCTGTTTTCTTGAAATTATTGAGGGATTATTTTTTTTTTTTAATAGCTTTATTTATTCAGAGGAATCAAAGTTTCACCGTGGTCTCTGGTAGGTTGACTGATTAAATCTCAGCTTGTAGTCTGTGATCCTTGTCTGCCAAACTGTATTAGTACAATCCTTTAGGAAGTAAAATAACTATTTACGTTGTAGAGGAGTGCTGCTTTGCAATTCTAAGATTTCCTTCTATCTTCACCTGTTATAGCAGGAAAGGGCAGAGAAAGAACTAGAAATCCTACTGATAATACTGTAAGAGTAAATCCTTCTCCACATTAAATTTTCATACTCATGTAAGCTGTTCTAAGCATCAGTGCATGTTATTTGGAAAGATACTGACTGGGGACTTATTCCTTTATTATCCTCAAATAACTTTCAGATTAATTTATTTGGAATACTTATTAACAATAATAATTAAATTACTATAATAAGCTTCTTTTGAAATACTATGTATAATAAATTCCAATGATAGGGAGACAATTTACTGATTATAAATCATTAAGGTCATCAGATCAGCTTAAAATAAATTATACTCAATATTGTAGTGCTGCTGAAAATATTGTAATCATCTGAAAAGAATAAGATAATTTGAAAATAGTATTTTGTTTGTGGAAACAATTAAGTTTCATTGGAAAACTGAAATACTATAAAGAAGTAAAAGTAACAGCAAATATTCTAAATAGCCATAGACTGGCCCAAACAATTGTTGCATCTTTAATTAGAAGTCACCTTTCATGACTGAATTCATCTCTACAGTGTCCAAAATGTAGAAACAGAGCAAAGGCGAGCTGGCAAGGTATGAAGCACCTTCATCACCTTAGTGAACAATTAGTAGTAGTGTCGGCTATGATCCTTTCCTAATGATGGGAACTGCATGGTCCCGCAGCAGAGGAATTGCGCACAACTGGAGTGAGTTCACGTGCATTTACCTTATTACAGATAACATCTTTATTTTTCCCTTCAAGTTGACCAGAAAATATTTCATAGCAGCGTCAAGTGCCGTGGGAACCAAGCTGCCTGAGGAGAGGCAGCCTAATTGATTGTTTCCATTTTGTAGGGGTCAGTACTTTCTGTTAGAAAACTGAGTTTGATCAGTTTTATATTGCATAAAATTACTTCATAAAATGACTTGGCATTTGAACTTGAAATTTGTTCTGCTTTCAGAAAAATAGAATTTGAATAGTCAGCCCTTCCCAATATATTAGCATTTTTTAACAAACGCTGCATATGGGAAGAAATTATTTGCTCTTTGATTTCCCAAAGCATATGTATGCAGTCTTTTAATCACTACCTTGCATATTATTATTCAGTGTGCTGTGTCATCATGCATCATAGTAGCATGCTAATATTTATTGTTCAGTGTGAATTCCAAGATAGACATTCTGGTTGCAGAAGTTGTTTGATTTAAATAAAAAATTCTTAAGGCTTTAAGTACAGACATCTCATTGTTGAAAGCCAACAACATTTTCATGTATGATTACACATGCTGGTTCTACATTTGTCACTGTGATTCTTCTGTTTTCAAACCTCTGAGACTCAGCTAGTTGTGAAATTTACTGCCTCAGCCTGTGATATTTTTTTCTAGAAAATTGCTAAAGTATGTGTAATTTCCTTTAACTTAGTAGAAAATAGAGGGGAAAAAAATCCCTTTTAGCCAAGAGAGAAGAGAACATGCTTACTGTCCTTTTGTCATTGCATCAATGGCAATTTTAATTTTGAAGGCACATCTCCCTGTTGTAAAGAGAGAATGTGTCTTTAATAACAAGGTAAGAGTAACAGTAAGGAGCAATCTTTGAATTTCTTTCTTTGCATTTAAAAGGAATCTTTCATGAAAATCTTTTTGTAAACTGTTCTGCAAATTTGTTTTATAAGCAAGCTGAACATATAATGAAAAACGTTACCTGATACATTTGTGCCTCGTATATAAAAATTGTACCAAAATACTGCTCAGGTAAAAGGTAAAGCATTCAGAAGTTAGAAGGTGCCTGAGTTATATTCTTGCAGCCTCTGACAGCACCAACAAGCAGCCTGTGGCCCTGGGCTGGAGCATGCTGGGTGCACCTAGATTCTTCAGAAAACTCGATTAAAATTCTAAGTTTCTCTAAATATTAATGGAAAATTTGCAAGGTCACATTTCAGCAACAGCAAAAGTCTACTTTAAGTAGACCTTTTGTCCCAATTTTAAGTCCTTGTGCTAAAGTTGGGAAGCACTGGAGATTATCTGCAGAGCTAATGTAAGAATTCTCATAGCATGGGCAGCACAGTGTATTTTCACAAAACTTACTCAATAGGTATGCTTAGCACCTTGAAGGCATACACATATATGCCATAATATCTGGCTATATTAGAGGCATCTGAAGGAAATCTGCTTACAGAAAGAAGCAGGAATTTTCTATGGAACACTGTTGTGTTGCTATCTTATTATGCTTTATTTCATGTTCTACAAAATAGTGCTGCCACCTCACAGTTTTATTATTAAACCAATGATATTGGGTGGAGGATCTTTGCTTATCCTCTATTTTAGATTCTCAGTGGTGAAATCACATGGAAATACCAAACTACTTTCTTTAAAATGCCTTTCCAATTCTTACCATTTCAAGACAGAGGAGTAATAACTTTAGAGGAGTTACAAAATGTGTCTCAGTAATGTCTTAAATGTTCAAAACCCACCAGTAAAGTAGAATAAGTATTTCTCTTCTGTATAAAGCAGAATGTCATCAACTTTAGGACTGCTTCTCCAGCCTAATTGTCATAGGATAAGAGATACTTAGTCTTTTCTTCTTAAGGTTTGAGGTCTGCCAAAAATACCAGGCAGTGACAGGGCTTTCGGCTGCATCTGGCTTTCCTGTTCTTCGTCGAAACAGTTTCTAGTTTATGAATCTGCTTCTTTCTACGGTACTCTGTAACTAATAGCTTCTTATTGCTTACATAGTAAGTTTAAAAGAAAGAAAAACCAAAAATTTAAAAAAAAAAGTAAAAAAAGGAACCAACATAATAACTCATTTTTCATTTCTTCTAGATAAAGATCTTGACAAACTCTTATCACTCTTAAAAAGTCCAGAGAAGCAAGCTGGGTGGGGAGAAATTTGTAGAAAACAGTTCTGCAAAGTGATGAAAGCCAGGCCGGATATCATCAGTGGAACAAGTGAGTATGACTTACTGAGTTTAACAAAGCAAGCAACCAGAAGGCCACTAGTAAGCAAACATTCTTTAAAGTTTCATTGAGGATTGCATTTTCTATACAAGTAGTCAATAGTTTTGTGTTGATGATGAAAACTATTTCAGTGGGATTTTCCTGAGTGAACAACTATTTTTCTCCATGGACATCATACCTCTGCGTTGGCTGTTTTCAATGAAGTTTGATACAGAAACAGGGCTCAAATATAAGTGTTTCTTTCAGATCTCTAAACAGTTATTGAAATGCTGGGAAATGATAGAGAGCACCTCAGAAAACAAACGTTTCCCAGGGATCAGTGAATGACTTAAAAGATGGGTTCAGAAGTTATATTAATGTCCAATTTCAGTAAAAAATTCCAGAATTAAGCCATACTGAACATCAAAGAAATCACTCATTCAGGTTTTTTATTTTCATATGTATTTTCTAGTGAATAGTGCACTCACGCAGGAGCGTTGGTATAGATCAGTTAAAACAATAAACCAGACAAAACAAACACAGTGATCACCCATATGACATAAATGATCAGAAAACAGATGTAATAATTCACTTGTAGTATCATATAAACTTGTATAGCAATAAAGAAGCTAGGTATTTTCAGAAATTGCTGGCTTCCATTTCTGTAAGAATTCTGTTTATGGTCAGATAGTGCATAGTCTCACTTTTTGGTTACAGATGACAAAGATTTCCCTTCAAATTCTTTAGGTAAGCAATTAATACAACTGACAGTGAAGACAGATGAAGTATCTTCTATATGGGATCAAAGTAACCCAGCATTTGTGTTTTACATAAGAGACCTGAATTTTATGCTGTTATATAGCAATATAAAAGTTATCCTGTATAAAAGTCATTTATACAGGAACTGATTAAATATAAAAATAGTTAATAAGAAATTTGTCATTTGTATAATGTGGTTATTGTCAATAATTATTGAATGTTTCTAGATTCTGAGCTTTCTGTTCTTCTTGCTTGTTTGAAACAAGCTTGAGTCTATGGTCTTAGGTGATCGTAAATTAGTCGGAGCTTTCACCTTCTGCTTGCAAGAATGTATGTATAGACAGAATACATATGCATTTGTATATAATGCTTATATGCATTTATAATACACATTATATTGTACACGTCCATAAATGCATGTATTCAGACAGCTTTGTGAAACAGGTGAACAGAGATTCATTCCATTCATTCCATTCATAAAAACCTGAACGTATTTTATATGAACTTCTGCTAGTATAAGAAAAACAAATTGAAGAGTAGCAATTAAAAAAATGCTAGATGTTTCTGGCAAAATTGTACGTTTACTTTTCTTGCGTGGCTGATCTAGTAGTTCAATAAGGAGTTTTTTTGATGTTACATATTGTGAAGCACAAATAATTTAGTCTTTGTAAAATCAATTTTATTTGAATGCAGCATATTTTCTAGACTGATCTCTTCCTGGATTATATGAAATTTTTGTTAAAAATTGTTAGTCTGTCTTCCTGCACCTAAAAGGAATTACTTGTTGAAAAAACTTATTTTTACAAAAACCAGAACGTACATTTAAAGTTGCTAGCTTACAAAGAAAAAGAAAAGTCTTTCCTTTTTGCTTTATAGTTATCCAAACACAGCTTCAAAAACCTATATAGGTTGTTTTCTGTAACTTTGTTGGGAGGTACCAGAAGCTAGAATGAGGAATTAGAGAGAGTCATTAAGATGTGATAACCCATAGCAAAAAAATTATGTTTGCTTCTGGATAACTGTTTCCAGCTGAGATGGAACAGGAAGTAAAAGTCAGCAAGAAAGTATCTGTTGTTAAGCCTCACAAGGACTTCTACAAGTGCTTTCACAAACCACACAAAAAAAGTAAGTATGAAAATATAATCAGAATAGCATAATGAAGCACTATATAAATAAAAAAAAAAACCCACCCCGTGAAAGGATAGTAATGTTTATAAACTCAGTGTAAGTACTGGTAATTTAAGGTGGATGCAAAGCTGTTCAAATGTTGCATATCTACTTGGAGATACTTCAGAAGCAGCAAAATATCTGCTGGCTGTGTGGTCTGAGACAGCATCATGTTCATTGGCACTATTTTATGAGAGACAGCTGTGCTGCTGTGTATCTTTTGCAGCATGTAAAGCTCTCCCAAATTTCATAGAATCATAGAGTCATGTAGGTTGGAAGGGATCTTTAAGATCATAGAGTCCAACCGCCAACCTAACACTGCAAAAACCACTACTGAACCATGTCCCTAAGCATCATGTCTACATGTCTTTTGAATACCTCCAGGGATGGTGATCCAACCACTTGCCTGGGCAGCCTGTTCTAGTGTTTGATAACCCTTTTGGTGAAGAAATTTTTCCTAATATCCAATCTAAACCTCCCCTGGCACGATTGTCTTTTTGCTTGTTACTTGGGAGAAGGCACCAACCCCCACTTCTCTACAACCTCCTTTCAGGTAGTTGTAGGGAGCAATAAGGTCTCCACTCAGCCTCCTTTTCTCCGGACTAAACAACCCCAGTTCCCTCAGCTGCTCCTCATAAGAGCTGCTTGAGACCCTTCACCAGCTTTGTTGCCCTGCTCTGGACATGCTCCAACACCTCAATGTCTTTCTTGTAGTGAGGGGCCCAAAACTGAACACAGTATTTGAGCTGTGGCCTCACCAGTGCCGAGTACAGGGGGATGATTGTTTTCCTAGTCCTGCTGACCACACTATTTCTGACACAAGCCAGGCTGCTATTGGCGTTCTTGGCCACCTGGGCACACTGCTGGCTCATACTCAGCTGACTGTCAGCCAATGCCCCCAGGTCCTTTTCTGCAGGGCAGCTTTCGAGCCATTCTTCCCCAAGCCTGTAGCGCTGCATGGGGTTGTTGTGACCCAGGCATTGTGACCCAAGGCACTTGGCCTTGTTGAACCTCGTACCACTGGCCTTGGCCCATCAGTCCAGCCTGTCCAGATCCCTCTGCAGAGCCTTCCTACCCTCAAGCAGATCCACTCTCCAACCTAACTAATTTCAGAGGACTGAGTGTCTTCAGTGCAGAACACAAGAATTCAAGACTTTCTCTTTAGTTACACATGGAGCAAACTGAAGGATTCCAGAACGAAGACGCATACTTATGCTTCCTGTGCTGGGCCCTTTCTAAGGGAGACTAACATAAACAGCAGTTGAACCAGAACATAATCAGCAAAGACTACATTGGATTCAATGACTGTATACTGTAGCATGTTTTGATTTTTTAAAATATTTTGTGGTCTGGTGTCAGGATTACCAGATGCTGAATCTATAGAACCTTCTTGAACTCCATCAGAAAATTGTTGAGCAAACCATATAGTATCAATATGTCTAGTTCACTCTTCTGGTGTTGATTACCATCGCGTTGACGTGGTCAGTGTTTTTGTGCTAAATGCTATGGTATTGCATAACCTTTGGGAACATCCATCCCTAGATTGGCATTTTCACTGCAAAGCATCATCTCTGACTGTAGCTTTTAAGTAATTTCTGTGGTCAAACATCAAGATGAAGTTTTGAATGGCTTTATCGAACCACTAAAAGGACATGCAAACCTTCCTTAGGCTTGTATGTCTTTTAGTGTGGCAGGACTGAAAGTGTGGGATTTTTCATGGTCATCTAAAAGCAAATTGTATTGTAGGCAACCGGCCGCTACGTTCTGTTGTTCTAAGCACAATAAGACAAAGGCATTCTTCCAGTTGTTTGTTCTATAAAAGTGCTATAGATTTGTGGATGCTAGGGATATAGCTGCTTGTTGTTGAGCGGCTTTTTGTGTGTCTTTGGGTCACTTAGATCAGCTAGGGAAACATGGACAGAGCGTTCGGTCAGGTTAAGTCTTGGCCTCTTTTGGACTACTCTTTGCAATACTTGTGGCCTCCCTGAAGCATCTTTAGTACAGCTAGATAAGAGCTTTCTATGTATTGGCATCTAAGCTTTGGCAGGAAGCGAAACAAGAAAATCAACTCCTCTGAAAGACAGGTTAGATTTATGTAGAAAATTATTAGTCTGTATAAATCTAGGCTTAGTATATTGCATCTTCAAATCATTCACATGATTGGGAGGTTTGGTTTTTTTTGAACCAGTATCTCAGCTTCACTATTTTATCCATGCCTTTTTCAGTTGTCTCCCCCTTCTTGCCTTTCAGATGTGGCAGAAGGCATTTCTGTTATTTTCAACCCCGGCAACTCCTTTTTTATCTGTTCTCAGTTAGTGTTGTATCAGCAGCTGACCTCTCTCCTGTCTGGGCAGATTCAACTGTCTCTCAATTCAGATTCAATTAATCATATCCTCTCTTAGGAGAGTTTAAACCCTAAGTAAGAGAAATTAGTGTAGTTGCGGAGATCATATAATTACATGCTAACATTCTTCCCTTCGTAATGAGACATATCCAGTCCCCAAATCCTAATCATTCTCCTCAAGCTTTATATCCATTTGTGGATATGTATAGGGGTAGTAAACTCAGCTAGAATGACTTGCTCCATGGAGTCATTCAGAATTTCCATGGCATATCTTTGTCAGGAATCTGGACTTAGATCACCAGTATTCTTTAGGGCCTATTAATTTACCTCTGAATTGTTCATTCTTAGAAAAAAAATAAAAATGTGTGAGGCATATTTTTCTTTTAAGATAATTTTAATCAGGCAGTTACTCTTTGAGGCTCATCAACTATTAATGCCTACAAAGATACAAAAAACATAGGAGCTGTTGAAATTGTGTATGAGATCTTACTGGAAAACAGAGGATTTTTCTTCATTTTTTACAAGTTAAATGGCTGATAAAAGCAGAGTGGTTATGATCAACACAGTGTTCTGGAATCCATTAATGCTTTGCGAGCTCTGCATCATCTGAGGTAGCTCTGTCAAAACATGCTGATGAAAACTACTGTGATCCCTTGAGACAGCGTCATTGTTTGTGATGTCTGTGTGCTGCAGCCGTTAGCAATTGCTGCAAAAAGTTAAGAGTAACTGCAGAACTTTCCCC